CTCTGTTTAATAGAAAGCCCAAGTAACATGGGACCTGGAAAACTTGTGGTCTGCTGGAGACCAACAGACCAAACTTGCTGGAAATGAGCAGAAAAACGCCTGTGTCCACTGTACAAACTGATCATTAGAGGCTGTTACGGCATACCCCTGAACTCCCCCATCTACCCCAAACAATTGTTCAGCAGCAGCAAAGTGACTTCCACGAGTCCAGACTGTTTTTCATCCTCAACAGCTCCTCACTTTTCTTCCGGACTCAGCAAGACCCATTACAGACCCTTCCAGTCCATTTCCTATGGTGTCCTGCTTAGGAGAGCAGGGGGAATTGCAGACTGCATCTGTCCCAAACACTAGTCCCAGGGACAGCCACTGGAGACACATGGGGCTGTGTCCAAGTAGTCTGACTTACGTGTTACAACTTGGTATTGGTGGTGCCTATGCCATCATTGTCAATGCAACATGGACAAGAGGGGTGAGATCTGATGATGTTACACGTGGTATTTTGATGATACATTCTTATTAAAATGAACATGGCTAAGCTGTCTCATGCCCTTGGTTCCTTTGGCTATTACCTAGATGAGTAACAGGCTCTTTGGCCAAAGTTCTGGACACCACAGTTTCATTCCAGGACACTGTGCATGCCACATCTATCTGTGTTGTCTAGAGGTTTAGCCAGCATTTGTACATGGATGAAACAAAAGTCTTGGGGCTAGGGATGAGCAAAGCTCTCAAAGTCCATTTGACAAACGAGGGTTGATATCCTCATCCTACCATACTAGGTTCCTCAAACATGAGAGGTGCTGCTGTATGAGCAATCAGCACCAAAAAGGGAGGCTCTCAGAGTCATCTGTGACATGCTTGTGCAGGAGGGGCTTTTTTAATTCTCCTAATGCTATGGGCTGATTACAAGTATAATATAAGAATGTCTGTGAGTTTTAATGAATTTGGAAGTCATAGTACAAAAAGGGTTTCTTGGGGAGAAAATTGTTGTAACTGCTAGGAACAAATGTTGGAAGTTTATTTTCCTTTTGAGTGGTGACATTTTCAAATGCAGCATCCCAGTTTCATTTCACTGCTTTCCTGTTCTACTTAGGTTTTTATTTTTGCATCAGAGAGCAGTAATATCAAGCAGATTGCAAATCAAACAAGAAGGACTTAGAGAAGATGCTGGAGCTGCTGCTTCCATCACAGAGAAGATGCTAGCTGAGTTCCTAGCAAGGCCAGTTATGGGTTACAGAAGCAATACAAGGACTGAAAGAAAACAAGTCCTCAGAAATTATTACAGTCACCAAAACAGCAGAACAGCAGTAGAAATCAAGGCTTCCCACAGCATTATCTCCACCTACACATAGCTACAAAAGTCAGCACATCCACCCTGCTAGTTTAGGCTGGGACTGAGACCTTGTGTACATCTCGGCTCCTATTCCTACTAGTGCATGTAGTGTGGAGAATCCTGGTGCTACTGGAAAACTGATATGAGTTAAGACCCAAGGGAGGGAGACCATGAGTGCAGTGCTGGTCCTGGCCTCCAGCCCAGGATGCCTACATCAAGTTGCCCCGAGACTGCCAGCTCTTACATATGCTCACCTGACAGCCACATGAATAGATGGCAAAATGCTTACCTCGCTCCATCATTAGGGCATAGCCCAAAGCAATTGGTAACTGGCCCAGTGGATAAAAATATTAAGTGACAAAGGTGAGGTCTGTTCCAGTATGGCAACTCCCAGATGGTACAGCTTCATTAAAGTTAATAATAAAATAGGTGCTGGAGAATTACCCACATGGCAGTGAAGCTTCTTCTTCTAACACAGGCTGAAGAGTCATAAAAGTTGAAGAATCCTGAGAGTATGGATCCTCTTCCTCCCCATCATGATTATTGTTCCTGGCAGGAGGGTGTTAAATGCACACCAGCACTTGCTGAGTATGGAGCAACTCTGTAGCCTAGGAACCAGCACTTGGCCCCAACAGTTCTGCAAGAGAAGCTCTACAGTCCAGCATTCCTGCGAATTCCCAAACTCCCTTCAAGTTTTCCACCAAAACACATGATTTGGGAGAACAAGTGCCAGATACTTTTAAGAAGCAGCAGTCATGGAGCTGCTAGACTCACTTAGGATCCAGCGGGTATCATCTGAAAACAACTATCCCAGTTATCCTTGTTGCTACTGAGGAACCTGTGGCTGGCCCCAGCCATGAGCCAGCTTGGATGGGGGAAGGTTGGGTGAGCTCAGACATTGGAAATGACTGGAGACCCTGGGGCGGTCAAAGGGTGGCCAGCTTTGAGTCACTACACAGGTAGTGAGTCCTGCCCTATGGATGTCAGTAGCAGATGCCATCACCTGGTATCTCAGAGCATCAAAGTAAGGTGCCTAACTGAAGTGGAATGGATTCTGTTCCACTGAGACCTTCAAGAAATTTGCAGGCAGACCTTGCTTTTGTTTCCCCTCCAGCCACCTCTGCAGAAAGAAATGCTCTCGTTTAAGAGACCTCATTTGCTGTTGCTATGTTCTACATCCCTGCAGACATGCAGACATGCACCCCACGCACCGCTGGCACTTCAGCTCTGAGTCAGGGTCTCTTTTCAGCAGGGAGCTGAATGCCTCGAGGTTTTCTTGACACTTATGAGTCATTTGTCCTTCCCTGACCTGCATGAGGGAATGTGGCTGACCAGGCTGCGCTAGCAAAACCATCAGCCTGCAGAAAGTAAAAGCTGCACACATTCAAGAGAAACACTCTTGCATCTAGTTGTGAAACTCTTTGCTAGAATCAGCACCTTACCCCAACTGTAAGAAAGTGATTAAGGAATAGATGTAGTATTGTTAACCTGTCTCATCCCTTTCTGATCCCAAGTGGTCATCTCCCAGCATGGACAGATTTTTAACCCTTGGAAACAACAGCTACTCCTTGGCTCCTTTTTCTCTCTTCCCAAATCTTCTCTTAGATTTTACAAGCTTTCACCAAGAGAGGAGGAATATCTCAGACCAGATCATGTCATGGTTATTGTGAGCATTCACTGAGGACTGTCCAGCCTTGGCATAGGCAGGCTTGAACCCAGGAGCCACCACTCAGACCAACAAACCACCCCATGGCCCAACCCCACTAGGCTGCCAGTGGGGCTTGTGCCAGGGTAGGCCAGTCTTGATCCCAGCTGTGCATGGCCACAGGCAGTATGCTTCACTGGCTGAGCCCAAGCCCTCTCTGTGTCCCACCCCTGTGGCACTGGGACAGGAGCCATTATGCTCCACAAAGCCCTTTTTTCCCCCATCCAAGGCTATTTCTAAATTCTCCAGTGTCTGAGTGTCTCTCTCATGCCAGCCTCCATCTGACCTGGTGACCAGCGCCACAGCCTTTTGTTTGGTGCTGAAAGACATGGTGGCTGCAGAGAAGGAAAATAAAATCCTAGCAGTAGCACATCTCCCCTTCATCAGGAGAACCCAGGGATTTTTGCAAAGAGACAAATGAGTCCTGGCCACTGGCAGCCAGCTGAGCAGATGAGTCATTTAGGGAGCTGGGGCTAACAAGAGCTATGTGCATATTTAATGCATCCCAAGGTTCTCGCCTGCTTTCAGATTGCACAGGGATGTTTGCTGAAGCTATGGAGATGTTGGAGCCTCATAGGCACACTGCAGCCTCATGAAGGGAGAAGTTTGACTTGGGTATTTATCTCAGCGCTTTCTGCTTCATAAACATCTCTGCTGTGCTCAGTCATTAAACTCTCCAGGCTGGGAGGCACTCAGATGAGGACCAGGGGAATCATTCAGTGTCTTGGAGAGAAACAGAAAGATCTTTCTGGCAGTGACTGATTTCCATGTCACCCCTTCCTATACTGCTTCCAGAGTTACTAAAGATGCAGTTGTCACAGCACAATCATGAACTTTGTTTTCTCAGGTAAAGCAGATTAAAAAGAAAAAAAGGGGGGGGGGGAATCTTTGAAATTCTGTTTTAAATTGCTGCTTGAGTTGAGTCTGTGAGTTGATCTTTTGCAAATAGTGCTTTCCGTTCCATGGGAATCTGTAAGAGCTCCGTGGTGTGGAGGAGGTAAACAGAAAACACTCCCAAAGTAGGAGGGCTGAAATCTTCAGGCATGGGTTTAAAAAATAAACAAAGTACATTCCCCTTTTGTAATGCACAGTGCACAATTACCTGGTGGAACTCATTGCTACAGGACAACGTGGAGGACAAAAATATAAGCAGGCCTCTGTGCACGGACATGATTTACACCAAGTCTTGTTAAACTGAGGGTGGTTAACACTTCCTCTCTGGGTGTCTGTTCACTGGCCGAATCACCCTCTTGGATTTTTTTCTGTTGTCTAATTTGAACCTCCCAAGCCACAAATGTAGCTGTTGGTCACTGTCTTACCATCTTCCACTGTTGAGAGGAAGTTGAATCCGTCATCTTTGTAACCCACCTTGAAGTAGCTGTAGGTTGCTGGCAGTTCATCATTTAGATCCCACTGCTGAAACAGTGTCTCCATAAGCCCCAACCTTAACAGCTCCCAGTGGGTCCTGTGCCCTGAGTCCAACCAGGCCTTACTTCCCAGGAGGGCAGAAGGTTCCTGATAGAGCTGTTGTCACCCCCTGCCTCTGCACCACACAGCAGTTTGTGCCTGTAGTTCTGATTTATGTGAAGAGGCTGGAACATGGATCCCAGGACCCAGGAACCACACATCTTTGCAAAAAAAGTATCACCATGTATCACTGGAAAAATCCTTCAGGTGGGATGAAGGTGAACAGTCAGCAAGGGGAGGATGCAGACCAGCAACATTAGCCTATGTCAAGATGCTTTCTGAGATGCAAGCTGAGGTCTCAACATGGTATGGAGAACTATCAGTGCTGCAATTTTCAGGGGAAATCCACTCTTCAGGGTATCCTGGGTGCTTTTTCATGATGCTGTCTTCATATAGATGAATCAGGGAAAAATTAAGTACACCAGGCTTATTAACATTTCTTTAATTAGTAACAGAACAAATATCTTTCAATTTTTGCTGATTATTTTACACAGAAAATATTGGAATGATGTATCAGGTGGTTTTATGTCCATTTTTGCTCTATTTCTGTGTAAAAATATACATCTGGTACACAAGATTTAGAAAAATAGATTTTCACAACAGAATAAGTGCTTGAGCACTAAAAATTCACTTGTGCACTTTAATGTTGGCCTAAATATTTACATTTTCTAGCCACATCATCTCCCTACCCCAAAAATAGTCAAACCCCAGATTATAAATATCAGCTATGTCTGGTATACAAAACTTTCCCAGAAAAAGGATAGGAAACACAAACATAACAATGCTGTGGCTCAGACAACTTGATTTTAACTCCCCAAAAAGAGTAAAAAAAAAAATAAAAACACTTCAACTCTTGTCAAAAGAAAAATGGCACAGGGAACACACCACTAGTTATCAGGCATTGCAGGCAGATGGGGAAGAAATTTTAAGATGTGATACCTTTCAGGGGAATAATGGCACAGACCATGTAGCAATAGTACGCTTTCAAAAGGTAAAAAAAGTTTAAGAAGGACTGATCTTGTCTTTTTTGAAGAACAGGATAGATTAGATATCTCTTAAAGTCCTTCTTCACCTGATTTACTGTGCTGTAGGATTGGATAATGAAAAAACAACAATTTCTACGGCCAGCATCTACTGATCTTGAGACAAAATAACATGTCAGGAAATGCTGACATGTTTAAAGTGTTGTTTTCTGGCAATAGTTTCTTTCCACCACTTTCTGAGTCTTTCCTGGGTAGACTCTGCTGATCACACTGGAAAGTGGCCTAGTTCTCCTCCTCTGTCACGGGGCCACCTTGTCCAAGCAGTGCTGGACGCATCTTCAAACATCATGATGTTCCCTCTGCCAAGCGTCAAAAATCCCTTGTGGGGAAAAAATGGTCCATTTGGTAAAGTATGAATTAGGGCAGAAGGGGAGACATTCATAACTCATGGTAAAAAACATCAGCAACTAACCACAGGAAGGCAGCTGGGATCAAATCACCAGCTTTGCAGAGCTGATCTCAGATGATGTTACTACAAACCCACTGCATGTGGGAAGGGTAACAGGCATTACTTGGTAGACAAGGTCACACCTGCTCACAGGGCAGGAATCACTAATAAAACATTTGCAGATCAGTGTAGCTGAGGCTGAAACAAGAGGAAAGGTAGCTGAAGGGATATCAGACATGGGATTGAGTCTTCGAAACCAGAGTGTGAACAAGTCAACCAGACTTGCCTCGTTCTCCAGTAAGTCAGTGGCTTTCTAAGATTGAGATCTGCTAGAAAAAAACATCTGTCCAGAGGTGCTTGGCAAGTTTAGGGTTCAGCCCTGGCCTGAAGAGGCTCTTCTGCAGCATTCAGAGTCCACTGAGTTAAAATGCCCAGAGCGAGTCCTTGGGAAGAGGTCTCCCCCCACAGGGTGTCTTGTCCCATCGGACTCTGAATGAGCCAGCGGAGTTTGTCTGCCAAAATGCTTCAGTGGCAAATTCGTTCTGTCATTTCTTTCTGTGTTGAAAGGGGAGAGAAAAGAACGAAACAGTAAGTGCAAAAGACAGGTTTTAGGAGAGTGACACGTCAGGCAGTTTGGTAGGGGTCCAAAAACAACCCAAGAAAGTGACCGTGGGAGTCTCAGGCAGCATTTCTGTATTTCCCATGCCAGCCCTTCTGGGAACTGCTCTGCCTCAGCAGCTCCTTCCCTGGCATCCTCGTCGGTCTCTGCGGCACAAGGCTATTTTGGCCGTGCCTTAGCTTTGAGAGCCGTCCAAGGAAAGAGCATTGGCTGAGATGTTGAAAGATGCAGGTCCTGCTCCTGACTGAGCCACGGAGCAGCCAGACAAGGTGGTGCCACTCTCACAGCCTTCGTTTGCAGCTGCCTTGGGAGACAGGACACAGAGCTGCTCCTGGCTCTCGCTCCAGGAGGTGACAACAGCTCACCCAAAGGACCTGTGGTTTTGCCAAGGGATCCCACAGTCACACTGCAACGCAAATGAGTGCTAATAACAGAGGGCCACAGGAAACCTCCTGCTCTGTTTAGGTTAACAGACTGTTTTCTTTAGCCAGGATGGCAACATACCAGCTGCATTAGGATGCATAGCCTTCTGCTAGTGGAAAATGGTGTTTGTCCTTGCCTTAAGGAGCTCAACTATAGCTTGAAAATCATGTACATTGCTGCAGCGAGGCAAGTCTGTGATTCTCTCCAGCTCGTCAGGTTCATGGCTGTGTGCATACAGACCCCGTCATGCACCCCAGAGGAAGATCTGCACAGTAAATGTACTCCCAAAATAGATCTGAAGTAGGACTGGTGTGTGGAGAAGGAAGGAAGGATGCAACTCTGAAAAAAGAACTAGGAAAGTAGGATGACCCTTGAATAACCCTATAAAAGGCCCTTTAGTGATATAACCAAGGGGGAGAGAAGCTGCAATCTCAGCTCTTCAGTGCTGAGAGCTTTGTTTTCAAAATCCATCGGGGGAGAGTGGCAAAGAGAGGTCTTCTCTGTAGGAGTAACATGCAAAATCACTTGAGCACAGAACCCTGCCATCAAATGAAAAGCTGATGCTCTCCCACAAGATCAGGTTGCAAACGGGAAGTGTTTGCAAACATCTCAGAAAGAGAAAGAAGAGGGGGAGTGAGAAGACTGAACATCCTCTTGCAACAGCATCCAGCCCACCCCATTAGCACAGCAGCACGCACAAAGGCAGCCTTGAACAGGATGGGTTGCCAAGCTGCCTGCAAGTTCCTCAAGCTGGCCTCAAATGTCCAAGGCATTCATCACACTCTGGAAATCCCCACAGCTCTGCCTTCGTATGTCACCAGCTGGACCTCTGCCAGCGCTGCTGCCCAGCACCATGACCTGCCCTTGAAAAGGAAGCAAGTGCATGGCTTCTCTCTGCGCCCATATTTCTTGATTTGTTAAGAGAGTGAATCACTGCCTTGGGCTAGTTCTGCCTGCACGAAGGATCTATCTCATTCTCAACTCCCAAGATTTGCTGCTAAGAAATCACATCCCAGAGAAGCTTGACAATAGGGAAACGAAGGCAGCCAAGGAAGATTCAGCCAGAGGCATGCTTAGAAACCAGGAACTCCTTCATCCCACAGTCCCTTTAATTTTTCTAAACTATTTGGGCCTAACAGGACATTTTCTGGCTGGGGAGGTGCTGTTTTTTTTCTTTCTTCTTACTCCTAAATCTGAAAACTGGGTGTCCTCAGCATAAAGCCCACATCTGGAAAGCTCCAACCACAGTACAGCACTCAGACCTGCTGTCCTGCTCCAGATGTGCCTCCTCCACATGCTCGGTGGCCTTCTATAGCAGGGAACAGGCACCTCTGCAGGCAGGAGTCTCCTCTGTCATGGGATTCATTTGCACTAACTCTGGCCATCTAAATGCAAGATTAGGACAGTTGTCTCAGCTCATGAGGTGGTCAAGAGAGACTGAACCTCTCAAGGACAGTTCATCTCATCCCTGCTGAGAGATTATCATCTTTCCACAAACCTTAAGAACTTAAAAAACTAAACTCTGCAGTCTTAGCCTAAAATGAAGACAGATGCAATGCACTGTCTGTCCTTGCTTAAGTGTCAAACCAGCTGACTTAAAAACACTTAGGAGCAGGGTTACAGCTATGGTGCAGCCCAGTGAGAAGAGGAATGAGCAATGCAAGTCTCTGGTGCTCTGCCCTGGGCGTGGGAGAATAGCCACAGGAAAGTGGACTAAGGTCAAGTGTAAAGTGCTGGAGGGGTTGGATGTTACTATTTGTGCACCTTCACAACCGCTGCTGAAGCAAAGCCAGAACAGCATGAATACTGGGCTCCCCACATGCTCCACAGCACAGTGAACCTGAGCCACACCAGGCTCCTGGGGGCTCGTTGGAAAGCCCCTGGGATGCACATGAAGAAACTTCCCATTATTGCTTTCCCTGACTGCAGCAGAGAGAAATGCTGTTGGAAGCTACTGGATCAATCCTAACCCATAACTCTGGGACTGATGGCAGTGTCAAGTGACAGCCTCCCTGGGGTAGCAGCATGGCCAAAAGGATCACTTGCAGTTTTTGAAAGTTCACAAGCTGCAGCCACTTGTATCTCTCCCCTCAGCTCAGCATAGCATCCAGGACACAGCCATCCTCTGGTTGCAGGACACTCTTATACATACCTGCAAGTCATTGCCTGAGGGAAGGTCTCCCATGTGGTTAGTCTGCTTGGGGCTTGGATGCCAGGTGATGGGCACACCAAGAAATGAGACACAGATAGACCAGAAGTAAATGTGAGTCATTTCCTTGTAGTTTAACCTTGATTGCATCACAGAGGAAAATCTGTTCATCTTAGATTCATCCAGACCCATAAATCATCTCATGTTGCATGTGAGTCACTGGCACTGAAAGCCTATTTAGCAATGTCAGCTTCTGCTTTGGCTATTAGGTGCTAATTATTTACTTTAGCATGCATCAGTCAAAGGAGATGACACCATTATGGACTGTATATCAATGCTAAAGAAGTTTGTCATAGGGAGCAGTGGTCAGGAAGACTAACAGAGGACAGAGTGACACTGAGCTGCCATTTTCTGGAGCTGAGAGCCGTTGTGATAATATAGGTCACAATCAAACTCTACGAAATAATTAATGTCAATGCTCTTGTCATTCAAGTCTCCTCTGATTAGATCATCTCTCCATTCCCCCAGATCACAATCAGACAGGCAGCAAATTGACTGAGACAAATGAAAGCAGAGAAAGAGTAAAGTGCCCAGCACTTAGGGGCAGGGGCATCCCGCCCACCTCCAGATACTCCAGAACAGGCAGCTCATGCTTGGACTTTTCTCAGCTTTTTCTCTCTCTGGGATCAGATCCTCTTGGTCTTCCCTGGTGCTCTGCTGCTGGGTACGGCCTTTTCTGCAAACTAGCCCTTACCACAGCATGCTACCTACTGGGTTCCCTATTAATTCTTCTCCTCGTTGCAGCATGTCCTCCCTAGGTCCGACCACACTCAACCTTGCCTATGACACACTTGCTTCTGTTACAAAACTATATGCATTTTCTAGTTTATGTGCCTGGGCTGTCTGGCCTCTGCTTCCCACCAGTCCTGCTGTTTTCAAGAACTCTCACTCTGCTTGGCTAATTGCTTCCCAAGGGAGGCTGCAGAGAAACTTGAAGCTCCAGCAAGGCCTCTCCAGCTTGGACTCTGTAGCTGTTGTCTGGAGCTACATGTCCTGCAGCCTCATTGTAATTCACACTAGGATCTCAAGCAGGTACCTCAGTCCGCTAATAGGAAAACTCAAGACTGTGGAGAGAAGACTTGGGCTCAAATCTGACCCCTGAAAGTCACGTGGACACAACTGGCTGGAAACACTTTGATGTGCAAATTGCAACCAAGACAGGATGACACTATGTTACAGTGGTCCTGAGGATACTGAAGAGCGATTCATATACATGGCAGCAGAGGCAAAGTTTAAGGAGGGTTTTCAATGGGTAAAGGGCTTCCTCAGTGTTGCTCAGTGCTCTCAGAGCACTAAGGCTGATGGTTACAGGACAGAAAATGTGGGTGTGCTTCTGAGGTAGGGTGGCTGAAGGAGTCTGAAGAGGTTGACTGCACTGCTCAGAATCCAGCCCCCACCTGAATCTACCAGTGCTGTGTTCAGGCCACACCACTCTCACCCCCTCCACCTCCCCATCCCTGGGGCATCCTTACCAAAGGCTCCAGCTCCCGATGGTCAATGAGGCTGAACTCCCTGATGAAGTAGTAAAAGTGCTTGTAGCAGGTGTTGACATGAGCCTCAGCACCCATGTTGATGATGCTGTCAAAGTGGTGGATGTAGACATGGACAAAGACACGGAACAGGCGAGTGAGGATCTTAGTGCAAACTTGCTGGAACTGCTTGGGGAAGGGAACACCTGCAAAGCAGAAGCAAGTTGGAAGCCATTTGACCATTAAAAAAAAACCCCACCCAGCTAGCTTTTAAATGTCACTGTCATGCTTAGCAGGCAGTCATGGATGATGAGGAAGGACTCCCTTGGGTGGTGTCAAGAGTGACAGCTACATTGAGGCAACGTGCCATCTAACTCTCCCCACATGCTTCCTCATTGCCCAACTAGCAGTTTCACACAGACATGGTCTGAGGATTTGGTGAGTTGCCCTAGGAGAGGAAACTTCTCATTCAGTGGAGGAGGCCAAATCTCTCCACATCTGGCTCTATCCAGAGCAATCTGGAAGAGGATCCTTCTGCCCTCTCTCCCTGCCTTTCCCCTACAAACCTGTGCAGGCACAGCATAACTCAAATTTACCCAGGTCCATGAACAAAACTAAACCTCCTCCTGCCTTCTCTGGTCCTCTGAATCAGTTCATGGTTCATACTGTTTTTCTTCCTCCACACGCCCTCAGCCATCACTTCTGATGTATCAGCAGAAACAGCTGGGGTTTCTACCTTTTTTCCTGATACTCATTTCAAACAAATGTCTCATCAAAACGGGAAGAAAACTGCCCATCTTAATGATTCTTAGGCTGCAATTTCATTGCATCTGTA